CTGTGGCCTGCCTCGCCCCCCAGACCCCATCTGGAAAGAGTTCATATCTCCTCTTTTTCAACCCTCTTCAGAGGATCCTTACCTGGCGACAGATACTCTCTTTGCCGACTCCAAGCATGGCTTCTCAGCCAACTCAAACATCTTTTGGGACCACGACTATGTCATGACCCCTCCTCTTCTTCCTTTACCTCGACAGGACCACACCTATTGTTCCTCATAGAAAAACGACTTGTTTTCTTTCTCTGTAAACTCGAACCAAACATTCATTTTTCTCCGAGGGGGGGGGGGGGGGGAGAGTAAGGGATCCCCTATCAGGACCCTTAACTACGCCATCTACCTTCCTTCTCTGCAAGACTAGAGACCCTTCAAGCCTCCCACCCAGGCATTGCCAAGACGCAGATGCTTATCACGATCGTTGGAGACGCGCGAGCAGTGGGGAATCATTATGGCATTCGGTTATTGACTTCTGACCTGAAAGTATCTCTTTGAACTGTGACCTTATTTTATTGTTTTGATCTGTGAACTTGTGTTGTGCTGAAATCTCTAAGTATCCGGAGTTGGATTTGGATTAAACCTTTGGACTCTGTGATGTTAACCGAGGACTACTTTATTCACGATCTTATTATGCTCACTGCCTCATTGAGTTATTTGAAATTTGGGCGGCAGTACAGATTTGGCCCAAGTATGTACTAGTTGATTCATGGACGCTGAGTAGTTCCAAATTGCTAGTGGTAGCGATGTCGGTTAATGTGATCTTATCATTTTGTGGTTAAGGCCGTGTTTTTGTATTTTTCAGGCATTGAGCTTCATTACGATGTGATATTGTGCATGGTTCCGCAAATCGAAATCCCCGAAATGAGCCGAAGAAATATTCGTTCGAGAAGTGGCATAGTTGCGAAAGATGAGCTGAGCAAAATCGACGTTGACGAAACCGTGAAGCCGTTGAAAGATAGAAACAGAACGGCAAGATCTCGTGCTCGTGTGAATGAATTGAGAGCTTTCGCGGAAGCTTCAACCCCGCGGGGTAAGAACTCTCATTCAACATCTGTGAGTGACGATGTCGAAAGTTGTTTCGGATTCGAGGACAGTGATGATTCCTTCATCATCTCGCCGATTAAAAAAGATTTTGTTGTTTGCGAAAATGACCCGAAGCCCTCACGATTTTCCTCGGGGAAAGTATTTGCTAAACCGTTGAAAGCTAAGCAGCCGAATTACAGCTATGCTGGAGAAGAAAAGAGTGTCTCAGCTGCGGAGATCAAGAGCGTTACTCTTCCAGTTCCAGTTACGAAGTTTTATCAACGTCGCACTCCGAGCAGCAAACCCAGCTTTAATTTGCTGCCCTCTCCCACAAAGCCGAAGACGAAATCTAAGGCACGGAAGATGGAAAATGTTCCAGAACAATTGGTCAAGTCGTGGGCAGATTCAGTGAACGAAAGCTTCAAGGATGTTGACGGATTCGAACTTGTTGTGGAATAATTTTTTGGGAATCGCGTTTCGTACTTAACGCTGCTTTGGCATACGTTTTCTTGCTCTAAATCATAATGTAAATTATATTTTCGCGCGATGTGTCAGTTTTTGTAACCTTATTGAGTTTGCGTCGGTATTTTTTTGTACAAATATTTCTAAAAGTTGCTGTATGGATTGGCTCAATAGAAACCCCTTTTTATCTTCGTAGCCCGTTCGGTAGGGCCGACTTTATCTTGCTCGTACTGTGGCTTGATACGTTTTCAGAAATGAAGAGTTTCTCACAATCGTTCGTGCTCAATTTCGAAATTTATACTTCGAGTGATCGCTCTAATGAGTCCGGCTTTTAGGATGTGGTTGCCGCAGAGAAATTGTTGCGTTCCATTACTGAGTGTTCCTCTTGTCTGCGCGCTTATGGGGTCGTATTTTTTGCTCCATGAATTTGAAAGTGAGCAACTTTCCCTTTTGAAAAGTGGATTGGTTCTAATTATAAGCAATTTTGCTTTGTAGCCGTGAGAGGAAGTTCCAATGTAAGCGGACTGCCGTCGACTGATGATTCCATGCGGATCCATAGGATACTCTCTGTTGGGAAACAGGATGTCATCTCTAATGTCACCCTTTTCAGCGTTGATTCTTTGAAAATTTTATCGAAGCATGCATGGAAGTTTCCCTTCATCAAATTGATTACGGCTTTTTCGATTGGATCTGCCTTGATGCAGTATTGTTTCTTGGTTCTTCATTCGGAGAGTAACGTTCCAGGAACCTTTCCGATCACGCCTTTGGGGATGTTTTCGAAAAGGTACGTTTTCCGGCAATTTTTTTTAACGCAGTTGGTCGAGTGCTTGATGAAGTCAGTCTTGAACCAACTTGTGTAGTAATTCAAATCTGTTGGGTCTCCTGATGTGGTGATTGGATTTTTATTGTTTCTGCAGAAATGTGTTCAATAGGAATCACCTATTTGCAGTGCTGCTGTGCCCGATTGTCACAATGAAACTTTTTTGGCTATTCAGCTACGGTAATGCACTTTCGTGGTGAGGTCTGAAAGGATTGATTGCCTGTGATAACGGATTTTATACTGATACATTAATCGGAGAGTTTCTAATTGTGAGCACGAGAAAATATCGTCGACGAAGTTTTTCTTTTTTACGGCCGAATGCGTCCATTGCTTTACAGCATTTATGTCCTGAACTACTTGATTCGCGGAATTTTGACTAATCGATTCATTGATTGATTTGTATCGTGGTTTTATTCACTGCTGAAAATACAGTATTGTCATCCCTCAAATCGAATGGATTTTCTTGCGTTTTCTTCGATTATTAATCGACGTTGATGTTTTTTTTTCATTATTTCGCAGAACAGCATAATGATGAGCAGAAGTAAGTTGTGGTCGTGTGTGTTTCGTGCAGTGAATCCGTCTTTATCTAGTCGATCATTGACTGTCGGTCAAATCAGAGTACATCGTCTAGTGGAAGGTCCATTGGAGGATGTTGTAAACGCGGATAGATGCGGCTCTCGGTTTTATTCGGCATCGTCTTCAACGGAACCCAGCAAAGATTCTACGCAACCACCTGCTGCGGATACTTCTGAAAAAGAAATCGAAGCATTGAAAGCAGCAGTTGCCGAATGGCAAGATAAATCATCTGACTATTTGGTTAGTCTTACGCGATTTCTTGATTCTTTTCGATATTTAGCGAGGAGGAACAGTTGTTTTACTTCGCATGTTTTTCACAGGATAAATACAAACGAGCTTTGGCAGAATCCGAGAATATACGTGCGAGGATGCTTCGCCAAATAGACGACGCAAAGCTTTTTGGCATACAGGGGTTTTGTAAAGATCTTCTGGAGGTTTGTTCAGCGCGTCATTCGCGGGAAGAGCTTCTTGTTGAATGTATTTTGTTTCAGGTGGCGGATATCCTTGGGAAAGCTACTGGAAGCGTACCTGAAGAATCTTTGAGTAAGGGCGACGTGCACCTGAAATCACTCCATCAAGGCTTGGTCATGACCGAAGCGCAGTTACAAAAAGTATTCCAACGGCACGGGCTTACCAAAGTGGATCCCGTCGGGGAAAAATTCAATCCGAACGAGCACGAAGCTCTGTTTGAACAAGTCAGTTTTGTTTGTATGAAGTCAAACCTCGAAAAGTCGCGAAAAGGGTTTGACTATATTTTCACTTCGTCATGAATCCCGAACTAGTTCTTAATCTGTGCGAAACATTTTCCAGGTTGTTGATGGAAAAGACCCTGGTATCGTTGCAGTTGTGACGAAAATCGGATACAAGCTGCATCAACGAACGCTTCGTCCAGCGTTGGTGGGGGTGACTAAAGCGTCGTGAAATGGGATGTTGTAGTGATCGGATTTTTTGTGTTTGTTTCTTTTCTGATGTTCGAAGCGTCTCGTTCTGAGGTTTTCTTATAAAAATGCGGGACTGCTTCTTGGACCAAAATAAGTCTCCGTGTTCAACGCTCCTCGGGATGTTTTCTTCTGGAGCTTGATTTGCCTGAAGCATCGTGATTGAACATCTCTAAATATCTCTGCGTCACAGAAGGAAAGATTCTGCGAGAATGAGAATGATGTACACCGAGGGACGATTAACTTGATGGAAAGTCATTCCGTTGTTAGATGCAAGCGAGCGTCGGGCGCGGGACAGTGTTACCGTTGATCCACAACGGAGACGTGCGGCATGATGTGAGTGTGATTTCGAAGACGCCACCGCGCGTCGGGCTTCCGTCGCCGTTCACGACTGTCGAACCGCAACCCGAAAGACGGGGTTGTGGAAGGGCCTTGCTCCTGCGGGCCCGAATAGCGGAACTCGTTGCTGAAGCTGCTCGAGCAAATACGTGAGTTTCTGAATTGGATACTTCTTCAGTTGAAGAACACTTTTTTGTGTTCCCTCTGCTCTCTCCCTATCTTTGACAAAGGCTTTTTCCGACACGCTGTGTCGGAAAAAGTGAGGACACTTGTTTCTCGAGCCACCGCCGCAGAATGACAAGGAAAAGACTTGGATGTGCTGACAGAAAGCTATTTGATTCCGGCTCCTATTGCTCAGCTCTTCACACACAACGAATTTTCATTCCCGGATGATTTTCTTGCCACCCTAATACTCGCAAAATTCTGCCTCCCGCAAAAATTAAATATTCAAAGGGAATTGCGCACGCGCCCTACTGATGAAGGCTTTCACTTCTTCCATCCCCTCCAGCATCCCTCAAAAGTGAGCGAGTCATAGTGTTGTATTGTGTAAAATGAAGAAAGGAGGAAAAAGGAGGGGAGTCCAAACGTGGCACCCGGTTTTTCTTCAGAAGTGTGGCTTGAAATTTCAGTTTCAAATATCTTCGAAATTTTGTTTCCCACCTTTGATTCTTTCGTGCGGTATTTGATTCGGTTGCCTCATTTTGCCCGCTTTGCCGAATGCTTGGCATCGTCATTCTGTATGAGCTGAAGATTCGCGTTTTTACGCGATGACAAGTTGATAATTGTCCCTCATGAATGATTTTATTTTTTTCCGATTTCGCGCGAAGAAAATGAGTATGATGATAAGAAATTGAACGTAAGAAATTTATCAGAAGGCTGGGCTCCCAAAGTTGTTAATGCACAGGATGCGTCACGTATGAAGAAGTGCGGAAAATTCAAGAAAGACGTCTGGAGAAAAAAATTATAATTCTTGATTTGCCCGTGAATGGATGCGATTTTTCACCACCTTGGCATTGAAAGAATTTTCTTTGCGTTTCTAGGACATCCGGTGTACCCGAAAGAATGGATGGTGCAAATTAATCATTGTCATGTCAAGAAACCTTTGAGGATTATTGGGAGAGAATCGTCGAGGAGAACACGTCGTCCTTTCATGAATTGGTGATGATCGTTTGCGAAGAAGAGAAACCTCCGCAGTTCTCGCAACATTTGAGGAGGAAAAGTTATTTTTTGCGTGTTTTTTGTAACGTATGTGCTCTTTTTGGTGTTATCCCGTTACTTCCGTGGTTATCTCTGAATTTTACTGATGGAAATGCGATATTTAACGCTTGAAATACGGAGCTTTTGCTTGGAAACAATATTTTTTCACTTGTGGATCATATGGAACTGATTTGAATACAACGCTCGGTAGCGAATGATGTGGCTTCGGGTTTCCCTCTGTCTTGCGTGTTTCACGGTTTATCGATAACTTTTTTTTTTACTTTTCAGGATCTCGGTTGATTCAGTTTCGCCTTCGGCTTTTTTTGTTGGCCCGCGTCATTTAGGGTTTAGTGAGCCTTGACCTAGGTGATATTTAGATACGATGACGGCGGGGCGATCTTCGTTTGTGAAGAACGCTGAGCTAAGGCATGTCTCATCCGGTGGTCTGGTGGACTTTCCTCCCGTTGTTTCCTACGATTCTCAGTAAGCTTTTTGTCGTATATATTTTTAATTATCGTGAATGCGTGATTACTGACGCCGTGAACCTTTTTTTTTTTTGTCAGGTACATTTTAATAGGCTCAAGCAGTGGACCGATTTTTCTCTTCGCATCAAAAACCGGAGCGTGTCTCGGTAACCTGACGTCCCATGATCGCTTGGTTGGTTTCGATGTGCTGAAGAATGTGCTTGAGCACAGAGTTGTCGGCGTTTATGTTGCGAGTAAGTTTCTTTCCGGCTAAGTTGTCCATCAAATACTTGAAAAGAAAAAATGGTGGAAGGTGAATGAATGAAATACAATGGCGCCCCTAGATGTGGTGCAATTTCTGCTTGGACCTTGTCCCTATGTTGGAACATCTGCATGTTGGATTATGTTTTCCTTTCACTTCAATAATGGGAACATAATTGGTTCTCCTGTTAAAGAAAAATTAGGAATAAGTCCCAAAGAATTTAATACAAATTTTTTCCGCAACTTCGAGTACAGAAAATACCTGTGCAGAGGAAAACCACGCAGAATCTGAGCTTTTGGCATCACAAGGAGCTCTTGAAAAGAACAAGTCTAGCCATACTGTGCACGTGTGATGAAATTTCCTTCGAGAAATTTGCCTCTTTTTGATCATGAATTGGGTACTGTAGTTTTTTCATGAAATTTATTTTTAATTTTTGTGAACAGCTCAGTGTATTCAAGAGATATGAAAACATTACAAAATTAGAATTTCAAGTTTTTCTAGAAATTCGGCAGAATCCATATCTCAAAATATAGTCTGGATGTAGTGGCAGATGTTTGAGAGTTTCAAGAGTCCCTCAGTTGAAGTTTCTGTACGTTGGGGTTTTGCTGTATTAGTGTTGTTTTCTATTATGTGGAATGATCGTCATGTTCAATTATGTCGCGTCAACAATAATCATTGGCGAAGCGATGTGGGTTGGATGGTCTGCAAATGATTCTCGAATTATTTTATTGATTAGGAAAATGCGCGGATGGCCTTGATAATCAGGAGTCATGCGTAGTCCGAATTTGGGACTACACTCGAGGCAAAATAGTGGACGAGAGGCTGATCGCTCTTCCCACAGCACCAGGCAACGTCCGGTTGGGGTTCGTTTTTCCGGGTCAGCCGCAACCTCAGGTTTTCGCAGGGGTCGTGTCAGTGTCAGCTCGCTCTGGAATGTCAACGACGAAGTGCTGCTTGTGGAAGCTGATGGATATAGAAGGATGCAATGAATTAATCCCTGCATATGACGCCATGTGTGAAGTGATGAAAGTGACTGCAGATGCGAGAGCAGTGGCGGCGAGCGTAGCGTGTGGTTTCATCGCTGGGGTCACTCAGGATACGTTGACTGTTGTGCGCGTGCCAGCGAGATCACGCGAGTGAGTGTGCCACTCTTTTATTGCTTTATTGTGTGTGAGTTTAGGATATCGAATCACCTTTTTTTTTATCAGTGAAAATGTATGCCGATGGACTCTTCTACAATGAAATTCAAGGGATCAGGGAAAATTCGTTGTGGGGATAATTTCAGTGTAGAGAACGCCCGCCTGTGATATGAGAATAGAACCCAGAAAAGATTCGTTTTACTGAGAAAATTGTTGTAGACGAGGTCGATGTAAGCCTCACTGACTTTTATTTTGTTATGTATCCTTCTTGGAGCTCCTTCTGATGCCAAAAAATCAGAGTTTGCGTGGTATTTTTCTACACACTTTCTGCATCTCATAGTTCAAAATCTTTTGCGAACTTCATTCCTAATTTTTGATGAACAGGAGAACTAATTGTATATTTTCCCATTCAAATCTCGGAAAATGTGATCTGGCATACATATGCTCCGACATAGCGACACGATCCAAGCACCAATTACGTCCGCATCTTGGGGCACCACTTGTATATCCCTCCTGACTTTGAAAATACTTATATTGCCTCTGGAAGGAATGCCGATTACTTTGAAAGGTTGGGTTCATTTTTTTCAGTTCAGTGACGAAGTTGCCCAGCAGAGGCATTGCATTCACTGCTGTCGCGACCCATCCGTTCCAAGAGATCGTCGTCCTGAGTGATGCTCTGGGCAGAATCGTTGTAATTAACGACGTGTTCAAATCTCAAGTGCGGAGTATTTATCATTGGCATCACTTGCCGTTGTACTGCTCCCGCTTTTCGAGTTCAGGTGATTTTCTTCTATTTTCTGAGTAAACTAGGCTATTCAAACGAAAGCTTTGAATAGTATGCCAAAATATCATACGCAGTGATGGAGTGTACATTATTTCGTATGAATGATGGTTTGGAAATTGCTTCGGGGTTCAGCCATTTATTTGCACAGAAAAACTGAAGAAAGTTTAATAATAATCAATCGTTATTTTCGCCGTTGGTTACGATTTTCGAGTTCAAACCTCAACGTGGACCGACGAATCATGATGAAATGGCGCATAAAGTGAACTCTAAATGAATGTGAATCGAATAAAAATAAACGAATCAAATAATTGGTTGGATCATATGCTTCAATAGCTCGTAAAATTGCGAAGATCCTGTTTATTACAGATAGATGTCAATTTTTCCAGAATTCCGGTAAACTAATATTTGGTTGTCTACTTTTCTTTGTAAAATCTACAGGATACCTTGGGATAATGGTTAAAAAAGTGAATATTTTTTTGCAGGGGCATATATCAACTCTGGTGGAGCAGAGCGAGTTTTGGTCCGCCATGCGATCGAGGACAAGAAGCGAGATTATTTATCTTGGCTCGACGCACCAATCGTGCAATTGGCTTTCTCTCCCGATGATACTTTTTGTATTACCGCCCATGATGATAACAGTGAGTTTCTTCGCAATGTAATACCTGTACAGTGAACTTCAATTTTCGATATGACGATTGTTTTCTTAGTCCTAGCCGTTACTCCGTATGGACCATGTGGAAAAAATTTCGTCATAACGGAAAATAATTTTCCGCGATAATCTCAGTACTGTACGTAGTGTACAAAGAATTTTTGCCTTGATAGTGTGAGCATGTGCCCTAGAAATGTTCACTTTTTGGCACAGTGTGAGTAACCCCAATTTGTGCATGATGGGAAAATGTTTAAAACATACAAATGCTAATCTTTTCATGCGAGGAATTTAACATTACAAGAAATTCGATGCTCTAATCAAAACTTATCTAGCTGCTTCCTAGAATTTCGTATTAGTAGTATTGCTAATTTTTTGTAAAAAGTATGTTTGAAGGGATACTGCTTCAATTCAGGGGAAACACAGTTGTTAGTGGATAAATGCTTTTCTTGCAGTTTACATTTATTCCCTGTTCATTTCAGCTGATATTTCAGTAAAAGCAGTGAATTTTAGGAACTTAAAGAAAGGGAAGGTCTGAAATAAGGTAATTGTGTGTCACATCTTGAATTTTCTCTATTTTTCATCAGAAGAAGTGGTAAATGATTGCAATTCTTCACATACCTGCTAAGAAAGCATTTCTTATCTGTTTCCCACAAATTGCAGTCTTGCATGGTAAAAGAGCAATGAATCTCATAACGAATTTGTTGAAAATTTCTTGGGAGTTCATTGGGAAAGTACAGTATTTCACTCTACTTAAAAAAGAAGTGTTCTGCTGAAGAGAGGTTCGACGTTCGAGGCATTGGAAATTACCGATTAGATTAAGCGGAACTGAAACATTGCTCATTATTTCAAACTATTTGATTTAAAGTTGCACCTTGTGAACGTATTTGACGTATTTATTGAGCTAACTTCGCTTGACAAATTATTCGTGATGACCTCTATTTATTGCCTGGTCAGTATTGTATTCATATTTCGTCCATTCCAGGCATCAGATTGATATCAGCCAACAATAATGTCCAAGCGATGATCAGAGGATTCGCTATCAATGTGAAGAAAGCGAAGAAGGATGATGATTCGTCATGCAAGGAATCCAGCTATCCAGTTGGACTAGTTGTGGACCCTCGTTCCAATTGTTTGGTGACAAATGGAGTTGTTGGCCATGCCCAGTTTCTCCGCGTTGATCCTTTCCGTGTGATGGACAGAGTGAGTTCGTGATTTATGCCGCATTGTTTCGTGTGCTTTCTTCGAATTTCTCAATATTAGTTGTGGTGAGATTTTGGTCCTGTGCTACAAGAAGTCAGTTTATGTGACTTCAAAATGTTGCCACTACTTAATACTTGAATTGGCCTTCTTGCTTTTTTCATGTTATTCGAAAGTCGGGAAGTAACGAGTTATGCAGGAAAATCTCGTTACAACGAAGCTGATCAGACTAGGAAAAAGCTTAGTTACGAAGCGATTTGAGTAACATCACCTGTTGAGCACGGTCCTGAAAAACAAATTCGTTGTAGCCTATAGTTCGTTATAATAAGATCCGTTTTAACGAGATTCTGTCGTATGCGGCTTGAATTGCAGGTAGACATTGTGCAGCAGAACACGGTGGAAGAACTGGAGGTTCAAGTTGCAGTTACGGACGTGGAGTCCATCCGGTTTTCTGATTCAGGAAACTTGATGGTCACCGCAGAAAGATTGCGTGATGGAATCCACGCCACTGAATTGCGCCTCAAACTTTGGTCGTGGTCCAACTCTGAATCCAAGTGAGCGTTTAGATTCAAATACGAAACCCCTTCATCTCACATTTTAAAATTGAAAATCAGGTACTGCTTGGACGTGGTGCTGGAGATGCAAGACGCGGAAAAGCTTCTTGGAATGGAATTCCAACCGGAAGCGTTCAGCCAAAATGGAATGCTTGCTGTGTTGACGGATGACAAGCGGTTGAGGATTTTCATTGAGGAAAAAATGACCATCACGAGTAAGTTTTCCGCGGAAGACGACGAATTTCTCTTTAGGGGCTACGTTACATTTACTCCAGTAGAGTGTTCCCCAACCTTTTTGGGTCTGTGGAACAGGAAATTTCCAGAAAAGTTTTTGTGGACTGGCAAGGTTGCATAACATTTTTGCAGACCAGCAGACATTTTTCAAATACCTGCCTCTAACCAAAACTTACATTGCAAAAATGAAGTCAAGATCCAGTGAAGCAGCTACAGTGAAATGTCTTCATCAGAAGCTTAGCTTCAAGCAAGGTTTTTCAAAAAGAATACTTCAAATAATCCATTTCCGTAAATGTGAATTTGTCGAAAGTGGTATTTGGAGAAAAGTCAAGGTTTATTTTTCATCAGATACTGTAATTTCAACTGTCATTGTCTTTTCAAAATGTCAGATGAAGATAACAGACTCCGTATTTCATAAATTTATTATGCTGATGAAAATTTCCCGCCAACCACTACCACTGCTCTAGTATGACTGAATTCCACTCCACTGATGCTTGTTTTCTGTTGAATTTTTTGCGCCATGACTTGATCCTACTGTATGTCGAGATTTTAAGATACGAATTTTCCAATTTCTTCTCTTTTCGTGAATACACGTGAATTTTATGAATTTTCCTAGATGCCGAAGAATCCTGGAGGTGTCTTGAAATGGAGCGTTTTTCCTGCCAAGAGCCAACGTGCATGGCATTCTCTTTCGATGGATCTGTCTTAGCTGTCGGGTTTGAAGACATGGTAAAATTGTGGAATCCGTATCCTCTGCTTTCGCGGTGTAAAATCCAGTGGCCTGCCACATTTTTGGGTGAAAAAGATCCCATCAGGTTTGTGCGCTTTTTTTTTTTTGCGTTCCATGCCTGGGGCGACGTGTTGATAACTTGGCTTTGTTCTGTTTTGTTCCAGAGAAGTAAAATTCGGAAGATTCGGTAGCCAGCATCTGTTGTTGGCAGCGTCAAGCACTGTGGTACTCTGTTGGTCGTTATTGGATATGAGACCGGTTTGGTGCATCAGAATGCCTGTTCTAAAGCTGATTTCTGATCCTGCCTCTCAGTTTTTTGCCGTGATTACCCGCAACAACACGCGTGAGTTTTTATCGTCTTGCACAGAGGGTGCGTCTGAGACTTCTGGCAGGTCCATCGGGAAACGCGAAGTTGGTGATAACGCCGATTGATGAAATTTCCAACTTCCTGATGGATTTGTCGTATGATAGCTCTGTTCAATATTTTCTTACAAATGAGCCATTTGCGGAATGCCCTGGAACCTCAATGACTCGAACCTCCCCAAGTCGAATGAACGTCTTCATGTCAATTCCGGACTGAATTCCCTTGGAAACAGTGCATTAGAAACCTTTCTGACCAAGGCTTTTCCTCTCAACCTTCCTTACCTTGAATTTTCTGAGGCCTTTTGGCTATTATTTTATCAACATAGGAAAGAAAAAAGCAATTTAAAAAGTTACTTGATATGTTTTGTAAGGAAGTGAAAGACTAATTGAGCGAATGAATTGAACCTCCAACGTCAGCATTATGTCAACTCATTTGAAAAGGAATTCAAAGTGCAGAATATCGCGAACTACAATTTCCTGCCATTCTTCTTTCTTTCCCTGAACTTTTTCCTTTCTTGAATTTTGTTCTGCGTGTTCCTTTGAAATTCGACTTGAAGAGGCTCCTCCGTATTTTGTAGAAAGAGCCAACCACGTGAACGTTCGTTTTCAAAGATTTTTTGGTTATATTTTTGTTTCAGTGCATTTGTTCCAGCCGGAGAAACCGTGTGATAAACGTACCTACCGTTTCGAATTGCCCGCAAGTTTCGACGGCGAGTTGTCTCAAGTGTTGGCAGCTGCATTCTTCCCGAAAAATTGCCGAGTTAATTACGATTGTCAAGGCATGAGGCACATGCCACCGTCACGCATTATTCTCTTATCGTCGAGTGCGGAGTTGTATACTGCAGATCTGACGAAGAATCGAGAAGATGGCGTGGAAGAAGAAAGATTGAAAATGGTGAATTTGGTGCAGGAAATGGAGTTGATGACGCCGTTCGCGAAATTCGTTGCCCCACTGAGGTCCGTAAATGAGGAAGGAACGAATGAAGAAGAATCGGAAGAGATGCAAGGAGGAAATGGGTCCAGTAGTGATGGATCTTTCGGTGGGAAGAACGTTCGCGATTTCTTGAACAAGGTAGAGTATTCGAGAGATTGTTTTTAATTTTCGCCAGAAAATTCATAGGGTGGAACTTTTTTTCCAGTTCCTGCTGCTGTCGAGTCAGAGTCTTCCGGGGATGTCACTGATTTTTGACGGTTTCGTCACCTCAGTCTTGTCCGATGCTCACGCAAGACAGAAAAAAGAGTGAGTTTACGCATTTCTTGATTAGTGTAGTGTACTTGCATGCTCTGCTTGAAAATCATACACGTTTAACAATGGAAGGGGAATTTTCATCAATTTTGAATTATTCAATTACGAAATTCATGCTAACACAAATTATCGTCGGTTCTAAATGTGTCATGTCTCGCGAGTAAATCTCTACCTAATTCACGTTTAAAGTTTTTCAAAGGAAGCTTGCTTCCTCGACGATTATTAAAATCAAAGGTTGAATGAGAATTTTAAAAATTTGATTTCATGTTTTGGGTTTCTATTGTATACAGTACAATACTTTTTTCAGCCGTTCACAGACTACGGAATTTTGTTGTTTTTCGAATTTTCGCGATCTGCCGATTTTATCTTGGGACATTTCCCATGTATTCAGTTCGGTATGGAGTAATTGATTTGACGGAAAGTTCGTCCAGCTGGTGGGGCACTTCCTGCATTACTGAAACGAAGCTGCAATTTTTCAACTAAATTTATCCAATTGTTCTCCCCCACTCTTGATATTTGTTTTGTGTTCTTTTTCCAAGAAATGATGAGAACGAGAGGAAGAGGAGAAAGAAGAAAAAGATGAAGGACGAGGAGGATGTTGTTGTTTCCCTGCCATTAGACAAATACGAGCAACCAGTGGAAATGGAGACTGATGCCGCGTTGTCGGTAGATTTGATGCGAGGAGAAGTGGTTGACTCGCAAATCCCGTCGGGTGACGCTCCGGACGACGATGAAGAAGAAGAAGACGCCTCCTTGTTTGATGCCGATTCGAAAATCAAATTGAATTTCTCTTTTTGGTCTCAATTCCAGGACGATGATGCGGCATTATTGCAAGCGTCTGACGAGAAATAAAACACCGCGTTGGTAAAAAAAAAATAATTCGGAGTTGCCACCCCTTTTCTGCATTAACAGTTAACCTCTTCTGCATTTTTGGTGGGAACGTCTGTACGTTCCCAAATGAGTATTCCTCTGATCACCATGCTAAATCTGGTATGATGATGATTCTACAAATGAAAACGTTTGATTGAATAGTTGAGCTACAAAAGATATTTCCGTTTGAGTTTCTGGTAAAAAGCGCCGTGAGTTGTCCACTGCGCGATAATCGCGATTTTTCTTCTAAAACATGCTGGTATTTCCGAAGAAATTGAACTTATTGAAGGCTGCACATGCTGTAAAGTACTTCAAGTGAGACACGCTCCTGGGGTTTTTAATTCAAATTTATATAAAATTGTTATCCCCGAATAAGACGAGCACCCCGTTTTTAATGACTAAAACTTCAGTAAATGTATTTCAAGAAGAACCCCCAAAATTTGAATTTAGGTATGGATTAGATCCTCCTCAAAACAATTACATTTTCACCGTTTCCGAGAAATTGGTTTTTCTATTGGTAAAAATTTCATTAAAATCGAACATAATGAACACCTGAAGTCCTAAACTTTTAGAACTTAAAAAAAAAAGATGTGCATATACGTGCCTATGACGCGCTGCTCCTTTTTCCTTACAATTTTGAGAAAAAAGGTACGCATGTTAATGAAGTAAATACAGTGATGAGTGGCATGAAAAATGCTTTTCTAAGCCTCTCAGCAGTTTCGATATGAATTTAGTTTCTCATGTTCGATAGTGGCTTGAAACTACAGTAGATTCATTCAAATTTTGGAACCAACTTTTTCTTTGTAGCGGCTTGTTTGAATACGGTTTCTTCTGAGTACAGTGTCCTTGGCTCATCGAAGACGAAATTTTCCTGGGGCTTCTTTGAAATCGTCTTGGTAAAAAATCGTGCGCAATACTTCTGGCAGTAACCGTGTGATTTCAATTATGGAGGCTTGAGGAGGACGCCTTAGAGTTGAAGGAGTTTTCATTATGAATTACTGTACTGTAATTGTTTCCAAAGGAATTCAGACATGGACTTGAAAAATTTACAGGGGAGGTATTTGACGGGGGAGGTGCCAGCAGTTATCAAGATTTAACTGTGTTTTTTTTTCTGGGGCCGGCGCCGGCCCAGAAAAAAATTCCACGTATAATTGCTGCACTGTACCTCGATTGAAGATTACTTTTTTTCAACTTATACATTGAGAAGATTACGGTACTCCCTGACTCAGGAAATCAGTGCAAATATATACTGTAGTCTTTATCATAAACGATCACCTATTGTTGATATCAAAGGTATTATTGAAAGATGAAGTAATTCTTCTGTGAATTGAAATCTTAGCTGTTGCAATAGATTATCGGCATACAACAGCATAATAATGTATATTTATGCAGTAGCAATTCTCGATTTTTTTATGCAAGTTCTTGTGGACATTTTTCTCGAGTCAGCGACCAGTTTCAGAAACAGTCTGGGTGAAATCATAAAATAAGAAGCCAAAATGCTGGAAGAAGACGTTATATACGAGTAGAGAAATTGATTCCAAACTTATTAATATTCCTTTGCAGTTCGTCATCGTCGTTTACCGATCCAACAAAGGGTGCTCGATGATAGCATATTAGATGAGACCATGCACTGCGTGGTCAGTTCTTTGTTGAAAGATAAACCCCGGACCGGACCAGTAATTAATGCCTTGCCGTCTGCATGCTGTCCCGAGAAAACTGGCCCCAAGCCGTCGTTGGGCAACCGAGGTCAGTTTGCAGCACGTCGTCTCGTATTGCTGCTCGATCCGGGGCGTACGCCCGAATCACGCAAATTTTCGCTCCAGGGAACAGCATCACCGATGAGTGTGAAAGAGCTTGGTGAAGGAATGCAGTTCCTCCTGATTCAGCTCACCTTCAGCAGTCAAGCAAATATAAGATAGTATTTGCGAAGTCTTTATCTTATTTTTCGTTTCATCATATTATATATGTTACATCACCGCCGCGCTTATTCATGATACAGTACACTAAAGTAGAGGTGCCCAAAAATGCTGACAAAATTTGTGTAGCTTGAACCTTATTTTTGTGCCTGTGTTGGCAGATTTGCATGCTGATGGATTATGTTTCCCCTCATAGACTTAAATGATGGGAATACAGCCGAAGCTATAATGCTATTACAACAATTAGTATTTGTTATACGACACTTTTTGCAAGTCTTCATTCAAGTTTCCTGTTGCAAACAAGATTTTACTGTTTTTTAATTGGTTTTGGTGCATACCTTGTATGTACTTGTATAGCTCATTATTAATTAGTGGACCCTGTCCCTATGTTAGAACGATGTATTCCCCAAATTTTTTGGTTCCACAAACCGGCAAATTTCCATACATTTCTTCACTGACTGGCGAATTTTCCGTTAAATTTTCCGCGAACTGGCACATTTTCATAACATTTTTGCAAATTCAACAAGTGTTGCTTGAAAAACTTTTTGTCATCTATGATCTATTCAAGAGTTTCTGCTTTTTGGCGAAAATTTAGTCAAGCACCAATCAGGCAGCTTTATAGCTGTCATAATTTCATTTAAAATTAGAAAGGTTGACTTGAATAAAAAAGAGAAATCTGCTGTAAAATTGTGGATGATTGAAAAACTAGCTGAAAATCTAGCTGAATAATGATGAATACGTATCAAGGTAATTGAAAAGCAATAATTAAAAATGCGTTCATCTCTTCGTAATAATGTTCTTATGCATGAGAAAACATAGTTTTGGAGACACAACGGTTAAAAGAAAGGGGGGATTTCCACTTCAAACAAATGCAATATATATAATCAAAAACCATCAATAACGGGAAGCTGAAAGAGTACAATGTACAGTACTGTATATGGTTTCAAAATACTGCAAGTCTAAGTTCAATGATTTCAAATGGTAAATACGATGAGTACCAAATTTTCCATGCTGCTGAGTTCTACTACGATCATGAACATGTCGAACCCCTGAAAACTTTGAAAAATCGGATCCCAATGTTTCTAAAAATCCATAAACTTGTGTGAAGTGAGACGAAGACGACAAAATACCGCTCTGGGCCATCGTCTGATTGTGACGAATATGATTCCCTGGAAAAGAATGAATAACTGATGACAAAGGAATCATTCTTGCATAATCCAATTACATGCCCAATTATTTTTTTTTTCGAACTCGGAGCCCTTTGAATTTTGACATGCGAACAGCATAAAGCATTCCTCATCAAGGCACTATGCAGCTGGCCTTGAGAATTCGCGGAAACTGCAGAAGTATTGAGAAAGTACTGTAAATACGGTATATACCCAAAATCATAGAAGGACCATACAAATTCATTGTGGGAAGAATTTTTTTGTACAGAGAACTCCTATATAACATGGGGAGGACACTTCATGGGATCACAAAAATTGGTAAAAATGAGAAAATTGTAGTGGACAAGATTGTTTTACAGAGAGTTCATCTGTATATGTACATAAATCTTCTCTGTACCATATGATGAAACAAATTTTCTGTGCACCCATAGGGGTGCTTCCCACATTCTGTGGGTTCTCTATACAAGAAAAGCATGTCTGCAAAATTGTCTTCTGTTCTGTTGAATCTTGTTTTGGAGAGTCTACCTGTATGCGTATCTTGTTGGGAATTAGAAGACAGGCGGTAGAATCCTAGACAGATTAGGATGGTGCCACTAACAGTAATGTCTGAATAGGTCCAGAATTCTGTGAGACTGAGTTTGACCTTGAGTTCCCACCAGAGTTTGGATTCTTCAGGAAATCCCGAAGAAGGGAGAATTCTGCTCAGGGATACAATTTTGCAAAAGGCAAAGATTTAAATACCAGATTTATTGCATATGTTTTCATCAGTTGCTCTGAATCAGTCTCATGCAAAAGACTACTGCGTTGTTGATCTGCAGAATTGCTGTTGTCAAAATCATGTGTTTCTGTCCCAAATACACCAACCTTACACTAGGGGGTAAAGCACCCCAGCCGCAGCCTGGCTGATTGTTGCCGAAAGATTCATTTCCAAAATAATTCAAGTCTAAAAGTTCTACTCTCACTCCAAATCTGTTCCAAACATATTTAGCATTTCATCGTGAAACTTACGGCTGAAAAAAAAGTCAGCTGGACGATGAGGTTCTTTTTTCTTCTTTTTTTGTGTGTGGAAAAGTCTGCTTGTCAACGTTTTCATTAGGCAAGACACTTTTCAATTAACTGCTGATGATGGCCAACAATTGGCTGTCGCAAAATGTTCTGAGCCCGTCATCAACAGCTGGCAGCATGAATGAAATGAGGAGGGGTGGAATTTACTAAATAAATAGGTACCGTGAATAAACTGTATTAAATAATATCCTCTTTATACTTCAGGCATGTTGCTGCTGCTGCTGGATCCCGATGATGATGATGATGATGAGGGGCCGAGCTGAGGCGGCAATGAGCGGAAAAGTTGTCTGTCACGACGCGACCCTGCGGGCACCTCCGGGGCGCCCCACCCTCGAGGGTCTCATCAGCCGAGGTCCCGACCCGCGGACCTGCCTCGCATCTGCATCTCAAAGGATTCCAAAAGCGCCATTTCCTTCCAATGAGGTTCAAACCTGCTGCCCCGTGTGTGTGTATATATATATTCCGTATGTATATACAAGAATATATATAGATACGAACGTGGGCCGAAGCATGCTATATATGATGATGGGCATTCCAAAAACCTATACTGCTGTGTTTATATATGCTGTAATATACTGCTGTAGTTGTTCTGCGGCATACCTGCTTTATTGGTGGTTCTACATATGCTTTATTGCTGCTTCCTATAATATTCATGAGGCATGAATTACGTTAAGTTAAGCATATTCAACTTACCATGAATGAATAATGAAGGTTCTGCTGTTCTTCCAAGCTAGCTGGACAAAAAGTCCATTTTCAATACGAGAATGGGCCCTGCTGTATTTTTGATGCACAAAGATTCGAAACTCTGATGTCCTGAAATTCTAGAATTTACCTCATTCACTCAAGTATTATTCACCTACTT